TGTGGCTGTGTTTACGAGGTTTTTAAGTGTGTTGATTTTTTGTATGGTATCATGAGCGGAATTCCAGGGGAATGTAAAGGCCAGTGTGTGTGTGTTCTTGCGGTGAATTTTGGTTTTATCTGTGTGTCTGATTTAATAATTTTGAGGTTAAGAAAGGATAACTGTTTATTGTTTTCGTGTTCTATGGTAAATTTGATGTTGAGATGAATGGAATGCTTGTGTTTAAAGAAAGTTAGTGTGTGTTCTGTAGAAGTGAAACCAGCAAAATTCGTCATCGAATTTGAAGTTAGGTATCGTCGTACTTTATGTTATTTACCCCCTCTGTGTCATCCGAAAATCTATGATTAATTACCAAGCATTTGATTCTCTAAGATTAATAATATGATCATAATTAAGAAGTTATATGGTTCTTATCTGTATAACTTGTTATTTTTTCTTGAGAGAAACATACTTTAAAACCAAATACAAGACTGAACCTTAGCTGAAAAGATTTATAAATATACAGCAACTCAAATCTTGGTTGAAATATTTATTGTGATTTAAATGTTCTTTTCCACTACATCTACTTCTCCGACAAAAGAATTTGGGTTCTTTACTTAACTTCATGTTCTACTAAAATATTGATTATTGTTTCTTTCTTTCATTCTTAATAAGGTTGTACGTACGTACACTACTATGGGTTGGTATCGTGGTTGAAAGCATTCAGATGCTTGTACTTAAAAGAATAGTTTTCACCACTAAACCCATGATTATCTGTTGATTTTACTTGGTTATCATCGAATTTATTTCATTTTCATGAAAGGACTGATACTATGTTATTAAAGTGATATTCGTACTTAGTGTTACAATGGTTGAAAAACAGCTGTATGGAACTCTCTTTTAATTGTGGTCTAGCATCAGTCATACATAACTGAGGTCTAGCATCAGTCATACATAATTGTGGTCTAGTATTAGTCATACATAACTGAGGTCTAGCACCAGTCATACATAATTGAGGTCTAGCATCAGTCATACATAATTGAGGTCTAGCATCAGTCATACATAATTGAGGTCTAGCATCAGTCATACATAACTGTGGTCTAGCATCAGTCATACATAATTGAGGTCTAACATCAGTCATACATAACTGAGGTCTAGCATCAATCATACATAATTAAGGTCTAGCATCAGTCATACATAATTGTGGTCTAGCATCAGTTATACATAACTGAGGTCTAGCATCAGTCATACATAACTGTGGTTTAGCAAAGTGAAACTCAATTAATTTTCATTTCCACATAATTTATGTAATTATACTTGAAAGGATAGGTATTCTGAAGGTTTTACAGGCCATAAGTTCCTATTAAGGTGCGCACATAATTCATTTAATTATACTGTACTTATTTTGAAAGATTTTAACATTGATGAGTGTCGATTTAACATCGTGAAGTACCAATTAACCTTTAACTTTCAGCCCACTTGCTTTGAATGAGACATATAAACAAGTTTGACATATTGAAGTACTGTGTTTTTATCAAGTAACAGTCGTTAAAACGCTTGATTTATCATCGGTTTTCACGAGTAGTTTGCAAACTATAGATTTAAACTACTCTAAAAATCAGTCTGTAAGGTTTTACTGTTAATTACTCCTCTATTATATAAACAATTTATAAGCAACATCTATTCGCTGAATATAATTGATAATTCCGTCTTATTAACAATATATCGTTACTTACTCGTTACTCCCAAACACCACAATTTCCACTGTAAGAAGCTTCCGTACAAGACAACGTCAAACTTGGCTAAAACTTTTCATATACACTCCACTGCAGGTGAGAATCGGCTTCCAATACCTCTCCTAAAGAAACACAAAAGTGTATTGAAGTTGCACTGAAAAACTTGCCAGGTATGCAGATGAAAGGATTGTAGTAATTCAAGTTTCTGCAACTATCATCTCCTGAAAACAGCGGCTAACTTTGAGATGTGGCTAGAAGATTGTGGTTAATTTCAAATCTTTATTTGTTATATTGTTGAAAACTAAGAAATGTGCTCGACTTCAATACTACAAGTTTATTTATGGGTCACAGATTTCACCTTTTGCAACTATAGCCTTCAGTTTGAGGATGAGAGCTTTTTATCGGAATGGTTTGGGATATTGTTTCACCCTACATCCAAGAGTCTACTCATAACGGCATTACTCTGTCGAATGGTCGAGATTTGCCCTACATCCAAAAGTATACTCATAACGGCATTACACTGTCGAATGGTCGAGATTCACCCTACATCCAAAAGTCTACTCATAACGGCATTACATTGTCGAATGGTCGAGATTCACCCTGCATCCAAAAGTCTACTCATAACGGCATTACATTGTCGAATGGTCGAGATTCACCCTACATCCAAAAGTCTACTCATAACGGCATTACACTGTCGAATGGTCGAGATTCACCCTACATCCAAAAGTCTACTCATAACGGCATTACATTGTCGAATGGTCGAGATTCACCCTACATCCAAAAGTCTACTCATAACGGCATTACACTGTCGAATGGTTGAGATTCTCTATGAACCAACTATATATATATACATAGATGCTAAACATGCCATCTTTTATTTTGTAGTCTAATCTAATTGCTTTTTTGAAATGATGAACAACTGGGTCCATTACTATGTCAATATATATCGTTGAGAGCAGTAAAACCGTACCTCAAAAGAAGAATAAAACGTTTAAACCCGTTTAGTAGTGATGTCTCCCTCCACTTAGCTAAGCTGTCATATTCAACAATAATATACGAACGTATTTTTCATTTTTAGAATTTTTAGACACAAATATGTCAATCATTTGTACAGGTCTGAAACTTTGACTCGTTGTCCAATAGCGTTGCTACCCATTTGGACAATCCCGACAAAAGACCAAACGGGCTGCACGATGCTGTATGGTTAACTGGAGGACTGATGCTAATTATTATAGTTTCTGTCATACTTCGCCTAGGGACAATATACTAGTGATTCGTGATGGGTATGCTGTGCAGATATAACGTTGATCTTCCACAACATTCTCCAGGATGTCTAGAGACAGATCACTCACCCAATGACGCGACACCAGAACGAGATCCAGCTTGTATACGTGTGTGTCCAGTTTCCAACATTTGAACAGCACTTCAATCCATATTGATGTTGCAGACTGTGCTGAGCAAGTACTACTGTTACACAATTACATAACGAAATAATCAAAACTGAGTCGACCACCAATCAACAATAAAACATTAAATTTCATATTCGAAGGTAAAAACGGAGTGTTATTGTTAAAGATTTTCATTATAAGTTCATTTTTAAACACTTCCTATACATTTTGTGTATGATTTTTATATCAAATGTTAAAGCTGGTTTTCAGATTTAATTAATTCGAATAGTGGCCTTTAATTGGTTTACATGCTTTGACTAAGCTTGTTGTTATTTCCACATAAATGGATAACATTTTTATAAGAAGGATATTAAGATTTTTTTAGTAGAACGCTATTATTATAACTCGACATATTACAACTTTTGTTTGTGCAAGACAAAACATTTGAACTTAAACCTATGGAGGGAGCATTTACATCGATGAATACGTCATAATGTTTTTCTATGATATATACATGTTTAGATTTAAATCATGCAATCGTTTTTGTTAAAGCTCAGTTGCCAATAATGCCCTTCTAAAATTTCTCTTAATGTTTCTTTCCTGTGAATTTTAATAATTTTTAAAAATTCGATTTCGTATTAGTTCGGTTGTGTCAAGCGCAAAGCTACACAATAGGTTATTTGTGTTCTACTTTCCAAGGGTAGTATCGAAACCCAAATTATAGCGCCTTAAGCCTGCAGACTTCTTTCGTATTAGTTTCTCAGTGGCTCATTGATAAGTCAAAGGGTGCACACTACTAAAAACCGGGGTTTGATACTCGTGGTGGGTACAGCACAGATAGCTCATTCTGTAGCTTTGTGGTTAACTCTAAATAAAATCTTTCGTACTGAAAAAGATAGTGATGCAAAAATTAATTTTTCTGAAGCTCGTCTGGATCACTTAAGGATAGGAAAATATTTGAATTCAAACCGCTGAAAACAGAGAACTATGTTGCTTCATAGAAAAGGATATGAAATGCAATGCTAAACAGTAAATCTGAGAAAGATGTAAGATTTTGTTATATATTTGTAGTCGCTTTTTCATGTTGTGTGAAAATATGTATGATACTTTTTTATACGATTTACTAGTTCATATTTCACTTCCCTATTGTGGTGAAAACACTTTGCATTGACATATTGACTCACCATATTTTTCCTTACGCAGTCGTACTTAAGCTGATTTACGCTGTTGTTTTTGATAAACTTGTGTATTACACAACTGTTTGACTTTAACTAAAGTTTTATTAAAGAAAAATGTTTTATCAAGAAATTATTTTTTAATTCTTGTTTTTTACATTGGTTTAACTATCAAAGCCTTCGACACTGTATAGAGAGTTAGTACCTCTCTCTTTTACTGATATTCCAGAGAATCATCTTTAGGACCCTAAGACCTGGAATCAACCAGAAAATCACCTTTAGGATCATAAGACCTGGAATCAAATTATGACATTAATTATTTTGTTTTAATTTGTACGTGTGAAACTAAATTCTAGCCCCCCTCCATTGTCTCAGCAGCAAGTATGAATGCTTATAACACTAAAAATCAGGTTTCGATTCCTGGTGTGGCTAGAGCGCAGATAGCTCCTTGTGTAGCTTTGCGCTTAACAACAAACAAACAAAATTCTAATTCTCTTCAACTTCTACTTGGACCAATCAGATAATATTGAGATATTCTTGGTAAATAAACAAAATTAATTAACCATTGTATGTTAAAAAGTGCACTGTTAACCTTGATGAGTTTATTTTCTGCCACCTAGAGGTTGTTGAATGTGTTATTATATGAAGACTTGTTTATCTATATATGAGCTTTCCAATGAAATTAGTTGATGAGCTAATTTTTTCTTCTTCTGATTTTACAGATTTAGATCGGCACAATGATGTTGCTACCTCTGACAGCCATTTTCGGCTTTTTCGCCATTTGTGGTGGTGTCCTTTTCAGTGGTCAAGTTGATGTCACCGACAGTGCGGAAAGCAAGATTGTCAAAGCCAACAACCAGCTTGCTCTGTCTGTCCTTAAGGCATTGGATAAGAAACATAATATAGTTATGTCCCCATGGAGCTTGTCCATGGCTTTTGGGATGGCGTATCTTGGTGCTTCAGGTAGAACAGCTCATGAAATGGAAAATGTTTTGGGGTATGGATTCGTGGGAATTAAAGGGGTGTCGGTTCACGACTTATTGAGAAAAGAGGATAATTTATTAAAGAGTGGTTCTAGTGATAAAAATGAGCTTAGCAATGCCAATGTAGTTCTGATCCGAGAAGGATACACTATCTTCAAGTCATATAAAGATAACTTAAAACGGTTCTACAACTCATCTATCACAGAAATTAACTTCACCAGAAGACAAGGAGTGTTACAGTGGGTAAATGCATGGGGATACAGGTCTTCCAAGGGAAACATCAGGAAACTGCTGACAGAGGTGCCACCTGAAACCACCAAACTGATGATACTGAATGGTGTATATTTCAAAGGTAAATGGTCAAACCCATTCAACCCCGATTTCACATACGTAGGACCTTTCACCAATGAAAACGGTCAGAAAGTTTTTGTACCGATGATGTACACGATTAATGAAGTATTATTTACTGTAGACAAAAAACTGGGCGTCTATGTTGTAGATCTTCCATATGTTGGTAATGACATAAGCATGATAATATTTCTTCCAACACCAAACAGTAACCTCGAGAAAGTAGAGAACGCACTCACGTTAACTACATTAGACGAAATACTAACTCAGATGGGAAAGGAAACTTTACAAATTATCTTGCCGAAATTCGAACTAAAAGACGATCGCAAACTTAAAGAAACACTGAAGTCTTTGGGGATGCAGACAGCTTTCAGTGACATTGAAGCTGATTTTTCAGGTATTACTGGAACACGTGACCTGTTTGTGGAAGAAGTGGTCCACAAAGCCGTAATTCGGGTGGATGAGGAGGGAACCGAAGCGGCTGCAAATACTGTTTTAACTATCAACAGTAAACGAAAACCTTTTGAGTTCCTTGTTAATCGTCCATTCCTCTTCTTGATCCGAGACAATCGAAGAGGCGTTATCCTCTTCCTAGGGCATGTTACCGAACTAAAATGATTTCAGGTGAATTCTGTAAACACACCATTCAGTAAATACTGTTTTAACTATCATCAGTAAACGAAAACCTTTTGAGTTCCTTGCTAATCGTCCATTCCTCTTCTTGATCCGAGACAATCGAAGAGGCGTTATCCTCTTCCTAGGGCATGTTACCGAACTAAAATGATTTCAGGTGAATTCTGTAAACACACCATTCAGTAAATACTGTTTTTAATCAATTTATAGTTCTGTAAACACACCATTCAGTAAATACTGTTTTTAATCAATTTATAGTTCTGTAAACACACCATTCAGTAAATACTGTTTTTAATCAATTTATAATTCTGTAAACACACCATTCAGTAAATACTATTTTTAATCAATTTATAATTCTGTAAACACACCATTCAGTAAATACTGTTTTTAATCAATTTATAATACTGTAAACACACCATTCAGTAAATACTGTTTTTAATCAATTTATAATACTGTAAACACACCATTCAGTAAATACTGTTTTTAATCAATTTATAATACTGTAAACACACCATTCAGTAAATACTGTTTTTAATCAATTTATAAACAAGCTTTTTATCATAATTGTTAACTTTAAAGGATATTTTTTATATTTCTTTTAAGTTTTCAAATAATTCAGGACTGAATAATTAAAGTATTCAAATAAAAAGTTCTGCACAATATCCGAAAGACAAATATTGATAATATCATTGTTTTTGTTGTTGTAAAACTACACAAAAGGCTACACAGTTTCTTGTTCCAGAATTAATGAATATCAGTAAACAACTTGACATGAACGGAGAAAGTATCTGAATACAATAGAAGATTCTTGGATTTTTTCACTCTGTGACGGGTTTAATTAGAATGTACATGTTGAAGCCTATCTAGTGTCTCACTACACACATTATGCGTATATTTTATAAATGTCCATAAATTTATGTTAACGTGAAGCAACAAGTACTTATGTTTTTCGTTTTCCATCACAGCTATATTCATTAATCAGTTCTCTCATGAGATTCTGGCAGATGAAGTGTGGTTTTGCGCTTAAAACAACCTATTGGTATTATTTTATAATTTGTCTTGGATGTAATAAATATTACACTTCTCAAGATACAACGGCTTCATTGTATTTGTCGATGTTGTGCTACTCAGTATAATACAATAGTTTTCAAGCTTTTCTTCAATACATCATGATCATATAGAATGAAGTAATTTTCCTTCTTACATCCTTTAAGAGGAGGTATTGAGTTTAATTACAATTCTATTTCTCTTTTTTAGGCCGGTTAACATATATATATATATACCAATATTTCAGTATACATCACAGTTATTATATCCTTTCCTTATGAAATATCTGCTAGTGTACAAGTTATGTAATCATACATAGTCGTCCGGAAGTCCGTTGTGTAATCTAATGAAGCCAGCCCAGATTTATCCGGACTATTTTTTCATCCAAAGTCAGTTGTGAGAAATAAGAACTGGAAATTTGCAGTTTACTGGGAAATGAAAAGGACGCAAAGCTCGTGTTTAGTGGTGATAATAGTATCATGACCTCCTGTAATAAATATTAATATCTCAAGCAACGAATATTTAGTACACTACATATGTAATATAACTCTGTTTCGTTCGATTGCGGAAAATTACATTTTGTCTGTTTAATTGCATGTCCTGTTCACAAACTTCGTAATCTGTTAGTTGAAGAGCCGCAAATAAATCTGGGATCATTAAGAGTATGTAACATACTTTCAATTACCCAAAACTCGAGCGCTTTCAAATAGTTCACTATTCTTCTTCTTTATTCTCCTGAAGCAAAGTGTTCAACTATGCGAAAGCGCGTTTTATTAATTCATTGCACATTTTGTATATGATCCTGTGTGCTAACTCGTTTTATCAGAATACTTTAATATTTCCTTTTGGATTACACAGTGTTTACTTGTAAAAATTATTACCTGCAATTTACTTCAAGTAAATTACTTCTATAAATTTGAATTATTAAGTTTTTATGCTTGAAACTATTCTTATTTAGAATTTATGCATCTGTCAAACTAAATTCAAAAAGTATCCTTCTATCACGTTTCTATTGTCAAATGTCAAGCTACAGGTTGAGTCACATATTTTAGCACTGCATGATGGGAAGTTAAATTGAGAGGATTTGTAACTTTTAAAACTAATATTTATATAACGCTAAATGTGTTTTTTATCACCGATTTCTAAACATAAAATATTTTAAGTAAAAAGAAGTTATTTCATGAAAAAAACCGTCAATGTTTATCCCTGAAGCTCAGAAGAATGAAGAATGCGACCCTCACATCACAAAGATATAATGTATTTAGAGGATTAAAGATAGATTATCTTAAGCAAACATAATTTTAGAAATCGTTAACTTATGCAAACTTTTGAAAAATTACCCTTTTTCCTGAGACTCAAACTTGGAGAAAAAAACCCACCCTGGTATACATAGGAATATCGCTTTGAATTGGCTTGTATGTTTACATTAACTTTTAATTGATGAGAATTATGAGTCCTGTCGACGAAATCCTAAAAACTTTAGTGCATTAAAACCCGTGAATGTTCACTTTATATTTACTTCAAACTTAATACCACTAGATAAAATATGCACATTACTTTAAAATTAATAGTTGAAAGATATTTTGGTTCTAAACGTATTTCAGTGACTTTTTGTAGCCTCTGAGAAAGAACTACAGAACGAAAAGTCTTAGAAATGTTTTAAGCTACTGGAACCTCAACTTGTAGCATATTTTGATCTCTGAGACTATATACAGAATATTAATGAAACATAATAGATTAAGCTCACTTTTCATTTTCTTTTCTATCAGTTTAGTGATTCGTACATTTTTCTGTTTATCTGTTGTTAAACACAAAGCTACACAAACGGAGATCCTTCTTTAATATGTTACATGCTGTTTACTGAGGCATGTGGATGGCTTTTACCAGTGGCCTTTGTGTTCGTAGATTCTCATCTCTTGCAAGACTTCGTACTTTGGTTACCATGATTGGTGTGCGACTTGGGTCAACATCTGGATGGTCCTGGTGCCCCAAGTTGATCCATATTCATTTGTTTTTCAGTGAAATTATATGCAATGGATATCTCCGTCCTAGAAATCATAAATTCCGCATCTGAACACATTATTATGACTTTAGTGAATATCTTATGTCGGAAATAGCTGTTGCATATCTTGTCAAGAACGACCAATTTTCGGTCGCATCACACTATCCATGAAACGCCAAACAATTTTAAATTATAGTTCTGACATACAATATTCCACCGCGACTTTTATATCGGTTGTGGTTGTCACGTGATTTGCTGACTTGGATGTTCACAATCGTTTTAATATAACGTTACCAACCGTCTGTCTATGTTATACTACGAGATTTATACCAGTAAAAGATACATGTCGTTTGAAAGAAAAAATCTGTCTTAACATAAAAAAACAAATATATGGACTCTGCCTTCTTCAGAACTGGTGTATGTATGACTCCCTATTCTTGTGCAACTAACGATATAACTATCACTAATACTCTTGTTCAAAAGGTTTCGAAAAAGTTCGTCTAAGAAGTAGTAGTACTGCCAAGTCTGGAAATTTTATTACATTAAACGATTAAGAAAAGTCCATAAATTATATGTTGGATAACATACATATGTGTGTGTGTGTTTATGTGTATAATGATAAGTTTATACTGCATAGCTTGAATTAGTCAGTAAACATAAAAACATTAACAGCATATTCAATTGAAATAATCAATACAATTTTATTGCCATACAAGCAAAAGATATACTGTTTGTGTGCAAACTGCTAATGATTCTAAAAAAAATATTATGAAATCATCTCACATGCTATACAATACATATAATTTTTAGATATATAACTTTCCTCAATAATTTTCATTAGAAAGATTATTTTTTCAGTATAATGTAAATGGTTATAATATGTACGGACCTCCTTGAGGATACTCGTTAAGGAAGCAAAAATTGAATAAAGAACAATGTTAAATAATGTTCCTCTTCCTCCTTTCTTTCGTTATCAAATCCCCAAAGACCTCATTAAATGTTAATTGCATACTCTGCTTTGCGAAAGGTGATAATTGATTTATTTAACTGATTAAGTACTCGTGTCTTAAATTCAAAGCCAAAAGTCTATTAAAAAAGAGGAAAATGTGTCCTATTTCAGGAGCTTTTTTATCTTCCATTTCGGGCTTGGCCTGGCATAGCCAGACGGTTAGGGCGCTCGACTCGCAATCTACGGATCGCGGGTTCGATTCCCCGTCCCCTAAGCATACTCAGCTGTGGGGGCGTAATAATGTGATAACGGTCAATCCAACTATTTGATGGTAAAAAAAAGAGTAGTCTAAGAGTTGGCGGTGGGTGGTGATGATTAACTGCCTTCCTTATAGTCTTTCACTGCTAAATTATGGACGGCTAGAGTTTGCTCGAAATACATAACGAACCACTTCGAGCAAAAATCCTAAAATAAAATAGCTCAGGTCCACCGCCAGACAGTTTCTAGTTACCATACACAAACTACGATAATAGGGCTAGCCAACTCTGGGTGATGCAAACTAAAAGTCTATAAAAAATGGAAATGTGCTCAATTTCAGGCGTTTTTTTATTGTCATTTTCGAATAAAATTCCTAAAACAAAATAGTCCACATACACCGTCGAACAGTTCTCAGTTATCATACTAATAATTTCGGTAATCGAACCAGCTAACTCCGGCTAGTGCATGTTAACACATACACACAAACATAATGGGCAATCTTTATAGTGAAACAATTGAGTATATTTTCTGTTTCTTCTTAATATAAGGGCCTTATTGGTGATGTGTATTTTGTTTTCACCTATATACCGTCTCTCGTTAGTATAGTCATGAACTTTAGCTAAGGAGTTTTAAGCAGGTAAACAAACATGCATTGATTAGAACTGGATCATCCTAAATAATAATAGCTGTTTTAGATAATCCTTACTGCGGAGTTAAAATATTTTTATGTCAAGAGCCATCGTTAACGGGAAAATGTTTATTTACAGTATTACAATCTCTCTTTGATGTTAACAGCCATCGTCTACGGGCAAATGTTTGTTTACAGTATTACAATCTCTCTTTCATGTTAACAGCCATCGTCTACGGGCAAATGTTTGTTTACAGTATTACAATCTCTCTTTGATGTTAACAGCCATCGTCTACGGGCAAATGTTTGTTTACAGTATTACAATCTCTCTTTGATGTTAACAGCCATCGTCTACGGGCAAAGGTTTGTTTACAGTATTACAATCTCTCTTTGATGTCAACAACCATCGTCTACGGGCAAATGTTTGTTTACAATATTACAATCTCTCTTTGATGTCAACAGCCATCGTCTACGGGCAAATGTTTGTTTACAGTATTACAATCTCTCTTTGATGTCAACAGCCATCGTCTACGGGCAAATGTTTGTTTACAGTATTACAATCTCTCTTTGATGTCAACAGCCATCATCTACGGGCAAATGTTTATTTACAATATTATAATATCTGTTTAAATTAAACTACCAAAGTGAGCAAAGTTGCTTCAAGTAGAGAGAAAAAACTGCTTTGTTTTGGAGTTACTGGCAACATTCATATTGTCTATGTGTTTCCTGACAGTTAAAGCTGTTACTATTTAAAAGTTACTTGGAAAGCTCTGGTGTAAATAATAATAATA